AACCCATGAACCCCCACCTAACTCCGCCTCTGGCTGCCATCCATGTTGCATCTAATCCTGTCTTTCATGAAAGAACCAAACATATTGACAGTGATTATCATTTCATTAGGGAGAAGATTCAAAGAGGTCTTGTATTCATTCAGCATTTGGCCACTCCTGAGCAACTTGATAATGTATTAACCAAAGGCCTTGGCCTAAGTATCGATAATCTTCGCGTAAGATTAAATCCGGCCTGTTCTATTACCATCTATAATTGTCTAATAGTTTTTTTTTAAAAAAATATAACAAAAATTTCTTTTAATTTGTGATAGACTTTTATACTTTCTCTGAATCAAAAATGGAAAACTATCAAAAAAATAAAAATATTCTACAACATTATATATAAGTGTGTAAATTTTATAGCAATCCTAAAAGTTCTGAGATTAGAAAACGTCTCTGTTTATCTCTTGCATTATTTAATCTAAGGATTGTACGTTATTGGCATATATTAAAATCATATGGTTTATTTCTAGCCATTAATTTAATATTAAGAGGATTTATTGTCTAGTTTAAAATGTATACCTATTAATACACAATTTGACATATATATATACAAATATGATTGTTTTGGGTTTGGAAGCGCAAAAATGAGGATAAAAAAGGGCCTCTTAAATAATTGTACAACTGATCAAAAAAAAAATTCCAACAAAACAATTGCATTATATAATTTTAATTTGATTATGAAATTTAAAATATAACAAATACTTTAATTGTAATATGACATGACACATGAAAAATTAAAATTAATTATCTTATTTTTATACTAGGGAGTCGGAAAGTGACATTAATGGTAACATGGGAATTAGTCGGGGCGGCAGTTCCCCATCATTTTCTCGTCGACCCAACGTGTGGCTACATGAAGTCGAATTAGTGTCCTTTACCCTGGATCTTCTCTTTTTTTCCGTTGCCATTTACCCATTACTAATTATAATCTTCTTCTCCATTTATATAACTTCATTTCTTTTTTCTCACCATAAATTTTAATAACTTCGCTGGTGGTTAAATGAAGAAGAAGAGAAAGATAAATGGAATACAGAAGTATAAAAGCCTTAATTATAAGTAGGGAAAATAATGAGTCAAATAAAGAGTGTTGCCATAAATATTTTTCTTAATTAATTGTTGCTATACAGATAACTGGTTATATTTCTACTATATTATAAAAGAGAGTTTAGACCCAAGTATAATATATAATATTCAAGATTGAGACTTTTCCCAATCTTGAATATTATATATTATACTTGTGGGACTTTTAACATTCTATTTTATACCCAAGTATAATATATAATATTCAAGATTGAAACTTTATTGAATATTATATATGGGCATAAACTCCCTTTTTATTTTTATTTTTATTTATTTAGTACAAATAAAAGAGAGTTTAGGCCCAAGTATAATATATAATATTCAAGATTGGGACTTTTCCCAATCTTGAATATTATATATTATACTTGTGAGACTTTTAAAATTCTATTTTATACCCAAGTATAATATATAATATTCAAGATTGAAACTTTCTTGAATATTATATATTATATTTATTATATAGTAGAACTTGGGCATAAACTCCCTTTTAAAATAATATAGAATATGTATATATCTCACAAATGGAAAAGTCTCAATCAAGGAAGTAACATATATCATTTACAAATGACTTAAAAGCTTTAAAATATTTAAAAGCTATATAATAAAATAGGTTGACTCTCAGAATTCTATCAGGCTCACATATATTGGAACAAAAAAAATAACACATATCATTTTAATATTACCAAAAAAGTATTATAAATAATAATAATTAACAACTTAAAATATCTGAAAGACATTTTAAAAGGGTTAATTTTGTAATTTTATCCATATCACATAAATTAGGACAAAGTGACCAGTAATGTACATTATTTCAAAGTTACATAAAAATATTATAAATCACAATAATTAATAACTTTAAACATTTAAAAAAATAATATGAAAATTTGGATGACTCTCCAAATTTCATTTGTGTCACATAAATTGAGATAACAAAAATAACATATATTGGGTCCATTTTAATTTATTTGTCTTATTTTTTATATTTAAAAATTGCGTAAAAATACTATAAATCATGATAATTGACAACATAAAATATGTTTTGAAAAAGAATACAAAAAATTCCACTGATTCTTCAAGTGAATCTATCGTAAAAATACTATAAATCATGATAATTGACAACATAAAATATTTCAAAAATGTTGCATGTGGGTAGTCTTATTGTGCCTTAAATAGCGTCAAAGAAAGTACATGTTTGTGATAAAAAAACTTATTCCTTTATCCACGCAAACAATCGCTTCAAAAACTCGATTATTAGCCCCAAAACATACCATTTATATTATTGGGCCCGTGTATAGCACGATATGTATATATATATATCTCACAAATGGAAAAGTCCCAATCAAGGAAGCAACATATATCATTTACAAATGACTTAAAAAGCATTAAAATTTACAATAATTATCATTTTAAAATATTTAAAAGTTATATAATAACATAGGTTGACTCTCAGAATTCTATCAGGCTCACATATATTGGGACAAAAAAAATAACACATATCATTTTATTATTACCAAAAAAGTATTATAAATAATAATAATTAACAACTTAAAATATCTGAAAGACATCTTAAAATGGTTAATTTTGTAATTTTATCCATATCACATAAATTAGGACAACGTGACCAGTAATGTACATTATTTCAAAGTTACATAAAAATATTATAAATCACAATAATTAATAACTTCAAACATTTTTTAAAAAATATGAAAATTTGGATGACTCTCCAAATTTCATTTGTGTCACATAAATTGAAATAACAAAAATAACATATATTGGGTCCATTTTAATTTATTTGTCTTTTTTTTTTTTATATTTAAAAATTGCGTAAAAATACTATAAATCATAATAATTGACAACATAAAATATGTTTTGAAAAAAAATACAAAAAATTCCACTGATGAATCTATCGTAAAAATACTATAAATCATGATAATTGACAACATAAAATATTTCAAAAATGTTGTATGTGGGTAGTCTTATTATGCCTTAAATAGCGTCAAAGAAAGTACAGGTTTGTGATAAAAAAACTTATTCCTTTATCCACGCAAACAATCGCTTCAAAAACTCGGTTATTAGCCCCAGAATATACCATTTATATTATTGGGCCCGTGCTATGCACGGGCAACATTATCTAGTATATATATGTGTGTGTGTTAAATTATGTATTTAAAGAATATATATTTAAATTTGGATAATTTTGACAAAAGATTTACCTTTGGTTCAGTGGTAATTAGTGTAATATTCAAACTCGAAAGTTCCGGTTTAAACCTCAAGCAACCACACACCATGGTGTCCATTCAAACTCAAAAGTTTCGGTTCAAACCTCAAACAGTAGGAAGAAAGTGCAACAAGGGCCGATTAAGACTCGTCATGTTAGAACAAAGGTAACTAAAGCAAGACATAAATTGAAATAGAGAGAGTATATATGAGTTCGTTTGGAAAATATTACAATTCAACTGAGACAATCAAAAGGGTAAATAATGCAAAATATCTTAATTTCATTCTCTGTTATAGTTTGGGCTCATTCATATTTTCGCCATTTTAATCAGTCTATTCTCCAACAACAAAACGGAGTGAAATTTTACAAACGGGGTCTGGAGAGGACATGATAGTATACACAGGCCTTTCTATCTCGACTCAATTGCAACAATTTTAGATATTAACAAAAAAAAGAAAACATAACAACTAATAAGAGAAACGATGCAAATCATACCGGAAAAGAAAATAAACAACAACAGAATAATACAATAGCGCGAAACACTAGAACCAAATGAAGATAGATATCAAAAACCATAACTAACCATCAGTTTATATATATATAAAATAATGTAAGGAATTAAGAAACTGACAAATTATAATAGGATTGACACCATGGCTGATTTCAAGAGTTGAGGGATGCAAAAATTTTCTATGTAACAAAGAAAAAATTGTAGATAAGCTCTAAGCAACTAGAGTGATGAAGACAGTTATGAAAATGAACATGAAGAAATTGTAGGAGATATGGTCGTTTGAAGTTAACCTTGTACAGTGGCATGCTCGTTTAAAGTTGACCTTGTCTTGTATATGAGTTCACATTAAAACTTAATCGGTAGATAAGCTAGCAACTTGACTTTGAGCTAGAGGTTCTTCATGACCTTAATTCACATCCAACACACTTCCCACCATGGGTGGAGCTATAGGCACCCCTAGGGTGGAACTTAAAAGTGTCTCACATGAGTAATATTCCTCTCAAATTCATCAAAAGTGTACTTGTTTAGGCCTGCTCATGTCATCACACAATAGGATCACCAGATTTTATGTTATTTTTCATATCCACAAACCAGGATATCGATGACCAGAAACATTATTAAGTTTGGTTATTCATTGGTGTCATAGAAATTGCAACAAGGGCTGATTAAAAAGACTCTTCATGTTAGAACAAAGGAACAACTCGAAGACTTACTCGTTGAACGCCTAAGGAAGGCACAACATGTGTGTTTACCCTCCGCGTTGAGCAAGCTAACCAAGAAGTGGTGATCAAAGCTTAAGAAATAAAAAATGATAAGACTCTTAATTCTAACATGTATTTTAAGGCATAAATAACATGTAAAAGGAAACAGAGGAGAGTTTAGCACAGATAACTATCAACAAAATAAGTGGACTTTTATCATAAAATACAAGCCAAATTCTTTGTTAAAACAAGATAAAATGTATTACTACAATTCTTTATACTATCAGAGTATACAAGTTATACAATATATTAGGCGAAAACTTCAGAATTTACAAGATTTAGAAGACCATAGAATTGAGAACCTATGTTTTTCCGACTCTCCAAAAGTATATATTGTGATCAAACACACACCCGTGAGATTTTTGAAGAGTCTGAGAACCCCCGCTTTTCATGCTCTCCTTCGTGAACGTGTTGAACCCTTAATGAACATTCCCTTTTGTGTAAATTTTGTTCTTCTACTCACTCGGATGTGATCATCGATAGGACCATTTTTGAACTTCTTCTTCTTGTGGTGGTGGATTGAATCATTAACAATTTGGACTTGCATATGATGACTCTTTGGCCTCAAAGACTTCCTCATATGTTCTTTTCTATGTTCCCTCATTGATTTTCTTCTTTTTATGTCATCAAATTTAATAGAGTCTTGTGATTCACTAGAATTACTAGAAATATCAACAAGTGCTTCTTCAATATCTTTTTGATGTCTTCTTCTTCTTCTATTATGCCTAGGTGTAAGAAGAAGTTTCTGAATGTTGAAACAAATGCAAGTGCAACAACAATCTAAGGCTGAAAAGCAAGTGGAGAAACAAGCCCAAGTAGTTCTACAAAGTATGTGACAAATGCACTGACAAATTCCCAACTTGTAAAGCAAGTAAAGGAACAAGAAAACTGCAAATAAACATAGGAAAATCAAGTTAGTTACTACTTCTGTTTCAATTTGTTTGACTTGATTCAGAGTACGAGAGTCAAACTAAATACAAACATAGAATCTTCAACTTTTTGAAATAAAATGTAAATATTCTTTGGCTATCCAAAATGTAACTAAGACAAACAAATTAAAACAGAGAGAGTACAATGATATAATCATGTTAGAACTATGTTACAGTCAAATATGAAGGGCAAATACGAGACAACTTGTTAACAACAACGATATAAAATGACTCAAAACTCTAACGGAGAACGAAATTAAGATATTTTTCTACAGTAGATAGAGGAGTAGAATTACCATTTTTCCTAAAACAAGACAATCAAATTATAGTTGAATAACAATTTGTGGAAAACCTTGATATCTGGTGTATTTTGCACAAATTCCTTGATATCATTTATTAAACATTAAAAATCTTCTACATAAGAAGTCACATTCAATCAGTCTATTTTCCAATAACAAACACAATGAAATTTCACAAATAGGATCTGAACAGGATAGAGTATACGCAGGCCTTGCTATCACCTTGAGAAAGATCCTCGACTCAATTGCAGCAATTTTAGGTGGAAAAAAAAAACATAACAACTAAAAAGAGAAAAAGTACAAAGGCTACTAGAAAAGAAAATAAACAACAACAGGATAATATAATAACGCGAAACACAAGAACCAAATGAAGATAGATATCAAAAATCAGAACTAACAATCAGTCTATATTGCATATATATAGAATATTGTAAGGAATTAAGAAACTAACCAAAGTATAATAGGATTGAAACCATGGCTGATTTCAAGAGTTGAGGGATGCAAAAATTTTCTATGTAACAAAGAAAATCCCATGTTGGGGCACATGCTGTACTGAAATGTTAATCAATTAACTATATCAAAACATAATTTAAAAAAAATCAAATGGAGAAATTTTACCCTAAAAATTAAGATAAAAAACTTAACATACCTACAAGCTTTTCCAGACAAAAAATCAAGTGGATGACCAAACAATTTGCCAACAATATCACCAAAACCTGATAATAATGCACCCATCACATTCCCCATTCTTCACTAATTATAACAAACTCATAATTTCCTGCAATTAAATACAATTCTCATTCACTAAATAACAAATTATTAATAAATTTCAACAAAGGATAATCTTACTATACTAATTAATTAAAACTGAAAAGGAAAAAGGAAAACTTACAGGAATTTGATTAGGCATCGAAAATTAATGAGTTAAAAGTGTGTAATATAAATAATTTTTAAAAAAATTAAGCAATTTCATAAAAAAATTAAATTTCATACTTTTTACCCTAAAATTTTACATACCTACCCGTCAGATTCCCATATATTCTCCACTGAATAAATAATGACAAGAAAATATAATTAAATAGTCATTCTTCTGCCAAAAGAAAAAAAAACAGTAAATAACTGCTTTCAATAGTGGGAAATTTCTTTCAATTCTTATCTTATAAACGAGAAATTATATAGTAAAGTCATTAAGTTTTTCTCTTATAAAATTACTCAATCAAACTTGTCATTAAAAAACCCCACTTTAATTTACACCCTTAACGTTTTGAATTTGAGAAACTATACCTCTCACATTTTAAATTAAATGTAATAATAGACCTTGATGTTAAATCAATTATTAGAAATAAGTTGATTTATTATATATTTTTATAATGTAAAAATTGGTGTTTAATTAATATGAATTAAAAATGTATAATATGAATACATGCATAAATCAAATATTCATCAAACACTTCGGCAAATTTTATTTGTGTAACTTCAAAAAACAATAAGAAAAGTGTAAAACATTTATTTTTTATAACTATGCATAATTTTTTTTGACGAAATAACTTTTTTCCTTTTTCTTTGGATGTGATTTTGTAGTTGTTGAGACAAAAGTCACTATAATCAACTTCATATTTAGAATTAACACTATCAGTGAGATTTGTGTATGCATTATATAGATATATATTAACTTTTTAAGCATTAAAATCTCTTATCAATAATTGTAAACCGTTAGTTTTTGTTGATTTTTTTTCCTTCTTTGTTTATAATTTTTAATGATTTTAAGTTTTTCGTTTTCTTTGCAGGACGATTGGTGTTTAATTCGATGGATTTGAATCTTTATTTTGATTTTTGATTTTAGTATATTATTAAAGTTATTATCTACACATATTTAATGTATAGCATTTATTTAATGAATAATATTATTTAATAATAAGTTAAATTTTAAAATTGTCAATAAATTAGTACTCACAATTATATTTATCAACTAACACGTATAGTAGTAATAATATAAAAAAAGTAATAAAACCATAAAAGTATTAAATTTCATACTTTTTTCCCTTTAATTTCTTTCTTTTGACATTTAAGCTCTCTTTTCTTTTTTTGCATGAATTTTCATTTTCTAGAGTTTCAAATTAACTTGATCCATGTTGTATCTACTAATATTGGAAAATTTATTTCATAGAATCGAGAAAAATAGCAACAAAAGATTAACCGAAAGAAAAAACTTTGTTGTGATTTAATCAAAAGAAATGGGTTTAACAGTTGGGGAAAAGATCTGAAATATATTCGAACTTTGACTGAAATTGTTGTTACGATACCGAACTTTGGAAAGGACGTTTTACCCGCATGCACTATTTAATAGTGTATTTTAAAGGTATATATATGCCCACGTGAACATCATAAATATTGCATTATTATAAATAGTAACGTGTCCACGTGGGCACATATATACCTTTAAAATACACTATTAAATAGTGCAGGGGGTAAAAGGTCCTCCATAAAATTTGATACCGTAACAACAATTTCGACCAAAATTAAAATATTTTTCAAACCCTTTTCCCTACTATAACTTATAAGTTAGTCACTTTTTATAGTGATTCCATTACACCTGTATAATTGTCTAATAGATTCAAAAAATAATCTTTTAATATATGATAGGCTTTAATACTTTCTTTGAATATAAATATTCTACAATATTATATATGTGTGAGTAAGTTTAATAGTAATCCTAAAAATTTTGAGAAATAGAAAATTTGTATTGTTGAGGATTGTTATTGACATATCTTTAAAATATATGGCTTATTTCTAGCCATTGATTTAACATTAAAAGTATATATTATCTAGTTTAAAATGCAAAAAGTGTATTATTTTTCAAATCTAAAATGTAAAGGGCGTAAAGTAATTTTTTTATGATAAATTTAATTGAGTGATTTTATAAGAGAAAAATCCTAAGTTGAGTGATTTTTTTAATACACAACAAAGTTCGATTTTGATATGTAATTTTCGATAGTTGAGCAACCTTTCAAGATATTTACTCTATATATAAATTATCTGCTAATTTTATCATAAGAAATCAAGTGAATTTATCACACTATAAGAAAAGTGAATTTTAAACTTCATTTTTTTAGGTCAAAATATGAATTCGTTCATTATATGCATATTTATAATGATTAATTGTTCTATCGATCGTCATGATTTATTTTTTAATTCACCGTTAAGAAAGAGTTAAAATTCAGTCATTAAAAATAATAATATTCAATTGTAATAAATTAATTAACCCTAAATAGAAAAAAAGATTTATGCCGTAGTTTTTTCCATTAAATTTACATTTTGACCTTTTTGGAGAGGCTATTTTCCTCTGAAATGGAGCAAGAATCCTCCATGATGTTGACAGGGATTGGGTTTGAGAAATGGATCGATGAGGAAACTACGACATCTTTAGTATCGGAATTCGAGTTTCTTCTGGTAAATTAGTATCGGGATTCAGGGCCGAAAGGTTTGTGGGAGCACATTCAAATTATAAATTTTAGTATATAATTATCCAAAAAATAAGAAGATCGAATCTCTAGTATATTAATTATAAATCTTTGTTTCTCAAGTGTTTTTAGAGAGGAATCCGATGAGGAGGTTATAAATACATAATGAAGTGTTTTTTGTTTGCTCAAGTTTTTGTGTGAACAAAACCAACTTACGATTAAATTATCGGTCTTAATATTAGTATTAATATAGATATGGATAAATTAGTTGTATTGGATGAATATGGCAGTGATGCGAAAATAATTAAATAAAGAATTGAGAATTCATATAACCGATCTTGACTTGAGTTTCGTAGTTATTGTTGTTGTTGGAATACACACAACAAAATGTAATTACATTCTAACAGTTAAACTCAATTATCTGCTAACTAATTAATTACATGGTCTATCAAACATGTCAGACAATGTAATTACACGTAATTACACCATAACAGAGTGACTTTCGAAACAAGTCCTAATTAAACATGAAACATGTGAAAAATCAAACATCTCTAAACTTTTGGCCAGAAAATTTGGCCATAATAGTATTTTACCTATGCTATTTTACCTTTTAAAACATTTTTACCCTTTTAACTTTAATACTTTTTAACTAAAAATTGAAAAAAAGATCAGTTTATTTTAAAATAAAAAAGATATTATAATTTTTTTAAATTTCTGCCCAAATTCTGACCAAATTCTCGCCATTTAGCATTACCCTTATTTTTTATTATCCAAACCTCTATTCACTATTATGAATTTTAATTTTTCAAACTAAGTCTACATAAGTTAATAGTCTAGATAGTAGGGTCTTACGTTTATATCTTTTTCATTTTTGTCAACTAAAGACAGTAAATCGTTAATATAAATATTAACCAATGGAATTAATATAACTACTTGAAACAGTTTGAGATAATCGAATTGTTAAGAAGCATCATGCCTAATTTGCAAGACATTTAGGTATATTAGTTTGTGATCGTAATATATGTCCGTTGTGCATACATTTATGGGCTGACATCGATGAATCCTGTGTTGACAAGTGCTTTTCTTTTTTAAGTTTTCTATCGGTGTCTGGTACTTACCATTTCACCACAATACTTGTTGGTATATGTTAACAATTGTTACGGTAAGGATTTAAACAATTTTTGTTTTGCCTTCTTTCTTCTTTCACATGAAGAAATTTTTGAACTCAAACCTCTTCTAGATAAAAACTAATCTAAACCAATGAGTCATGTAACTTAATTGAGTTTTTGGCCAAAATTATTCTTAAACTATACCCCAAACTTAAGCTACATCCTTAAAGTATCATTCTTAGTAGAAAACATCCTTCAACGATTTAAAAGTGAACAATTTTCATCCTTCTACTTGAATTTATCAGAAAACTAATAGATCCCACAGAAATCAACTGATCCCTTCGTAATTATTATTCTTAGATATGCCAAAAATACTATCATGAACTTTTTTGGTAATTGAGTTTAGCATTATGCAAAATCTTTTAATTTGACTTTTTTTCATTTATTTTTCATGTAATTTGATATTAAAAATATTATTAGTTGAAATATGTTTCTTCTCAATTGAATATGCTAGAATAGGCGTTTGTTGGAGACTTCCACTTCTAATAATGTAGAATGACACTCAAATGCGAGACATAATCAATATTTTGATCACTTCAATATCAGATTGTCCAAAAATTTATTGATCTAAATACTGTATGACTTTGAAAAAGGTAACGATAATTAAGCTCCAGCTTCTTTCCGTTACTAAATGAGAAAAAGAGCATATCGTGTATCCTCACACCTTCCAAACATTTTTTGTTTCAGTAAGAAATGGTGTCTAAGATTTCTAATATTTTTTTAAGGAACTTCGGTAATGAAATTACGCAAGAAAACTTTTGTTGATAGTCACGTGAACTGGTCATATTTTTGTAGGATCCCTTAGCTTTGACGATATCTTACAGAAGATGGATATTGTTAACTTTCAAATACTTATAGGATGTTTTTTGCCAAAAAAGATATTTTAACGATGTAATTTAAATTTGAAATATAATTTGAGGATGTTTTTGGTCAAACACTCAAACTTACTTATAAGTACGAAAGTTAAATTTTTAACTTTCCTTCTATAAATAGCACGACTCAATATTATATTCTGCTCTTGTTATGGTTGTTTATAGTCTTTTACTTCTTTCCTTCTTTATATTTTTTAAATTTTTATTACTCATATCATTACTTTACTTTACTAACTCAAAGAAAGACTTGTTTTGGTTTAATTAAAAGAA